TGAAAGAGTAGTTGTCAAACAGCTAACAGATCATCTGCAGAGGCTTATTTGAAGAGTTTCAGTCAGGTTTCAGAGCTCATCACAGAAACAGCTTTAGTGAAGGTTACAAATGATCTTGTCTCACTTATATTTCCTCTGTATAACTGAGACATGGTTAAGGGCAGGTGAGTCCAGCGCTTTCACAGATCTCTTACCGGAGGACAGCTGCTTTTTAAACTCTCCTCGAATATCAGGCAGAGGACGACTAGCGGTTGATTTTAAGAAGCAGTATAAATGTAAACCACTGCCCTCATCAACATCACCTAGTAGCTTTGAACCGAGTGTGTTTGAGCTGGGTCGCTCTCACACAGAGCTCTGTGCTGTGGTTTACAGACCCCCAAATACAATCAAGACTTCTTAAACGACTTTTCTGATCTGTTGGCTGAAATTATGCCAAAATATGATCGTGTCTTTATTGGTGGGGACTTATTCACGTGTGCTGCCCCGACAAGCCAATGGCAAAGGACTTTTTAAATCTACTCTTGATCTTGTGCAACGTGTGTCTGTGCCTACACAAAAATATGGGCACACGTTGGGTCTGGTTTTAACTCAGGATTTACCTGTCTCTAACCTAGAGGTTTGGGACATGGTCGCATCGTAAGCCTGTCTTGTTTGAGGTTTCCCTTCCTTGTACCAAAGTTAATCCTCCTCCTGTTGTTGCTCGGTGCTGTCCTATTTTGAACCCTTCCTCTGGTTTTACTCAGTCTGCCAAACCGTTTTAGATTCAGTGGCCCCCTTTAAGCTTAGGCAAGTTAAAGCCAAATGTGAACCCTGGCTGAATGAAGTGTAGGAGAGCTGAACGTAAATGGGAGGAGGATAAACTTCAGGTGTCGTACCAAATATTACATAATTACTGGAATTCGTATCAGAAACATTTTGCTGCTATTATTCAGGCAAACTGCCGTAAGCCTCGTGCTTTATTTAAGACTATTGGCAGGGTCCTTCATGCTCCACACACGGTTGGTGTCGAGTCCTCTCAGGAAATTTGTGAAAACTTCCTGCACTTCTTTATTGATAAAGTGCTATCTGCGCAGACTTCCCGGTCCGTTCTCGACCCTTCTGTCCTTAGCTCTGCTGTCTTTGACAGGTTTGAGCCCGTTTCTCACCTGAAGCCCTAAATTACTTCTCAGTAGACCCTTTGCTCAGGTGTCTTGATGAAATAAGGGCCTGCATGGCTTTGAACTTTGTACATTTTAATGAGCAGAAAACAGAAGTGATGAGGCCACTACTATAGATCTTGGTTCGCTGGCACAGTATGTTGAACCAGTCGTCAGTAATCTGGGAGTTAAAATGGAGGCAGATCTTAAACTTGAAAGCCAGCTCAGAGCTGTTGTAAGATATAACTTTTTTCATTTGAGGCAATTAGCTAAAGTAAGGCCCATCTTATCGAAACGGCTTTGTGAGACAGTAGTCCACGCCTTTGTTACATCTAGGCTGGATTATTGTAACACACTTTATTGTGGGGTTAGCGATGCATCCATTAGGCGTCTGCAGGTTGTGCAAAATGCTGCAGCACGTCTTTT